AAACAAAAGACGTAATCATCGAAGAACATATTCAGGAGATGTTAAAGAATAAAATATAACGCCCATAAATAGTGAATACGCGAGTCCAGTCGTATCATGTAGGAAAAAGAACGAGTTTCCTCCTTCGGATAAAAGGGCTTGGAGGTTTGCTATCGATTATAGAAAACTAAATAGCATAACTAAATTCCCAGTTTACCCTTTGCCGGTTATAGACAGATCATTAGACAGATCAAATCGACAAGATATAGTCTACTTTGGACTTAACGTCTGGCTACTATCAAATACTATGAGACCCGAAGATATACATAAAACCGCGTTTATAACAAAATCGGGCACTTATGCATTTTTACGCATGCCTTTGGGTTGTTGTGTTAGGCCCCATCAACATTCCAGAGAGCTATGGACATTGTTGTAAAGCCTGTCCTAGGAAAATCAACTTAATTTATCTAGATGATATAATTATAACGAGTAGTACGTGGAACAACACATTAATGACCTCGAACAAGTTTTTAATTATTAAAAGAGGCCGGTCTTACAATTACGCCTCAAAATGCAAGTTCGCAACTAAAGAACTTAATATCTCGGTTATAAATTCGCAAAAGGGTATAGAAACGCAGATTCAAAAAAAAAGCTATTAAGAATTTCCCACCGCCCAAAACACCGCCAAGAAACTTCGTCTTTCCTTTTCTTATGTTCTTACTTATCGGTCGTTCATAAAAGATTTCGCGAATATTGTTAAAACGTTGTTACTAATTAAAAGAAAAAAAGTACCTTTACGTGGACAGCTGAAGCTAAATACAGCTTTTGAAAGAGTTTAAGGTAGCACTCTTATCAATGCCCCTGTTTTGAAATTCACGGAAGGGGCCGAAAACCTGGAAATTGCAGGCCGACGCGTCGGACTATGCCGTAGGTGCAGTTGTCATGCAGAATGGGCATCCTTTGGCATTTTTTAGTAAAATTTTGAATTGTAACTCAAAGAAATTATACAGCTACAGGAGTGAGAAACATTAGTCGTATTAATGGCTGTACACAAATTTCGAGTTTATTTCGGCAAATCGCCAGTAACGTCTTTTCGGATCATGCGGCTGTTGGTAGACTTTACTCGGGAAAAAACCTAACGCCCAGGTTAATAAGTTGGGCTTTAAAACTCCAAGAATATAATATCACAATAAAATATAAACCGGGTAAGGAAACAATGTAGCTGACGCACTTTCTCGTATAAAACTGGACGATGAAGGTAATGAACTTAATGCGCTGTGTTGACTTAAAAATTTTAGATTTAGAGATACGGTTATTACTGAACTGAAAGCTGATCCTGAATTTGGAAATATCTATGCTTATTTGAAAGACCCCGAAGGCTTTGAGCATACAGATATCGATGCGATAAGAAATAGAGCAAAAAACTATGAAATAATAGATAATTTATTATTCTATACGAAACAACGAACGAAAATCTTGAGTATAAGCCAGTCATCCCAGCCTCGCTTCGATTAAGCATTTGAAGGAGTTGCACGAAAAAAAAAAAAAAAAAAACAGCGGGCCACCTCGGGGTCAGAAAGACTTTAAAAAGGGTACGCGAGGCGGTATATTTCCCGCAATTATACAAAAATAGTAACGGCGTATGTCCAGGTCCTGCAATCAATGTCAGTTAATAAATGATATTAATTACAGCCCGGCCGGGTACTTAAATAGCATTCGCGCTACATTTCCGAATGAAATTTTAGGCATAGATCTCCTTGGTCCCTTCCCCCGAGCGAGTTAAATAAAAATCGTTTTCTTTTAGTATAGTAGATCATTTTCAAATGGATAGAAATTGTTCCACTTAAACGCGCGTCAGCCAAAACAGTCGCAGATGCATTCTTACACAGATACATTTTAAAATACGGTGCACCGATAAAAGTCATTAGCGATAACGGAAAACAATTCATTAGTCAAATATTTGAAAACATATGCAAGGGACTTGATATACTCCATATCAAAATGGTTCCGTATAGACCAACAGGCTAACATAGCAGAAAGAGTTAGAAAGGTAAATAAACATAATTAAAAAATTGTAAAATAATTCGCAGTTACGTTAGCACACATCACAAGCGCTGGGATGGCTACATAAATGAATTAGCTTATGCTTTAAGAACGGCACATCATGATACTACGGGAAAAACTCCAGCAGAATTTTTTTAGGCAGAAAGTTAATTCGCCTTTCGATAAATTATTCTTTGTGCAACAAAGAGAGCAAATTTAGACAAAAGGACGTGCAAAAGCTAATTGATCAGGCGCTTAAAACCTCGGATACGGCAAGAAATAGGCAGAAAATTATGATGATAAAAAACGCCGTGAAGCAGATTTTAAAGTTGGGGATAAGTATTGAAACGGAAATTTTCTTATCAAGTGCCCAGACAATTGACATTTTATGGCAAAGCTAGCTCCAAGTTTGAAAGGCCCCTATGTAATTCAGGAAATCAAAGGAGTAAGTATCTTATATCTTAAAAACGAGAGAGGGGAAATCTGTAAAAGCAAGTCCGACAGGTGAAAAAATACTATAATCCAAATGATTTGAAATCCTTAAAAGTTTCTTGCAGGACTCAAGTCTAACGAATAGAAGGGCCAGAGACTGCAACAACTATTCCACCACCCAAGAAAAGAACGAGAATGAGAGAGAAAGCACTTCTACAACCCGACGTCGGTTATCAAAAAGAAAAAATGAGTTTCAAATCCGGCGTTTAAGAAAAACAAAATACAGATGAACCGGGTAAAGAAACCGTGGTAAAGACGAAAACACCACCTACAAAAGATGGCAGGAGAAATTACACATCAAGGAGAACGCGCACACGGCCACAGAGTCAGGTTGCCAGCAAGGCCGCCGTTCCGGAAAACTGAAACGCCAACAGGAGGACAAAAAACGGACGAACAGAAGAAATTCAAGAAGGACTCCAGACCGGAGGCGTCAAGACCAGCGTCCCAGGCAGAAACGCAAAGGACAACAACCAGACGATTACTCCGTCAGAGGCCAGCATGCAGAGGACGCAAAGAAAAAGCAACGGGGACGACACTCGGAGATCAATAAGGAGAAGATTGACATCCATGAAACCTCTAACGGGATCAATTTTGCCAAAACGGATGACGGAATTTCAAGCATCGAAAACTCAAAGATAAGTTAAAACCTTCTATAAATATTTTTCTCTTTTGTTCCGAAATGTTATGCATAAGTAAGTACGAAGTTCTATGTTTGACGAAAGTCAATATGTCTGGTTGAGACTTAGTTTTGTTTTTACTTTATTTAGCTAAGGCAAAAGTATATTTTTTAAGTTGTAATTGTAAAGCTAAAAACAAGCATTTTCTGTTGGTCGAAAGACTAATTCTGTTATGTTTAAACCAATTTGGCGGAGATATAAAAAATAACTTCGTATTCTTGTACTAATAAGAATTTTAGAATTGGCGAAGAATGAGTAAAGTAAAAAATTTATTTTCTCTTATTCATTTTATGGTAAATTGTAAAAAGCATATGTATTAAACTTTTGTAAATGTATGTAAATACTTGCATGTTATGTTAAAAGTAGAATTATCTAGAAGCATAAAATTGTAGATGCTAAAAGTGAATGCTTAAAAGCAATGAAGTCAAAATTTAAGTATTAAACTGTAAGTCATGCTTAGAGCGAAGCCTGCATGTTTAAAGATGATGGGGGGAGTTAGTTAGAATGAATGTTGTGTTTGTAGGGTTTCTCCCTACATTTGAATTTTTAAGAATAGAAAAAGTAGCTCATGAGTTGTAGAATGTCGAGTAAGGTGTGTCTATTTGGTTGTTGAATTCTAACAAATCAGGGGAAGTGTTTAAGACTAAAACCGAATATTCCCGTTTTGACACCACACATGGTGGAGAGCCAGGGTAAAGTTAAATTAATGCTTGAAAATTGATTGAATGATGAATGTGAAGTAAGCAAATAACTAAGAAAAACGAAACGTTAAAAACAAAAATTATTGTGTCAAGAAAGTGTAAATTATATGTATGTGTAGAAAGATAGTATGATACTTATTCCTTCCAGATGCTGGAAGGAAAGACCAAGATTTGATGATGAAGTCCAGGAAAAGTTGTGTAAGAAGAAAGCTTTGTAACGACTAACAGAATTTTAAATTGTTACATAAGATTTTTTTTTGTGTAAACGAGGCTTTCGCCAGTTAGTTCAGAATTAGATAAACTTACAACAGGTTCGTTTGTAGGACCTGCTTCCAAGTTTTCCAAATTCTGGCAGCGGCAAATGTAGGGTTTATATTTATTTTAACTAACATTTATTTTAAGTTTAAACTATCTTTCCTGTCAATCCTTACTTTCCCCTGAACTGCCAATGCCAGAATATGTAAAATTGAGTAGAACGCGCAAGCATTCAAGTTATCAGCGGAAGTAGTAGGTTTAAATAGAAGGAAACGAGTTCGGTGGAGAGTTATTCTTACTTCGCGAGCGGCGGAGGTAGAAATCGAGAATTAAAGAACCCCGCGTTGCGGCCTATGTGCTTGCGGGAAGTGTTGCAATTGTTCCAGTGGAGCTTCAGTCTGCTGAATTAGCTGCGGTATTTGTAAAACGCGGTGAGTTAGTTATTTTAGAGAGCCTCGTGGTTTAGAATCTTGTCTTTATTTTCTTTTCAGGTTTTTTTTATTGACTGCTAGTTGGCACAGTTGTAAGCGTCAAGAGACGCATTGTAATTTAGTACGTGAATAAAAAGGGACTTAAACCCTTTATAAGACTCTGTGGTTTATACAAACTTTCACAGTCACCTCTAGGTTGCGTGCTAATTAGAGGCGCGCAACGTTATACTGTAATAAAAAGAATCTCTGGAAAGCGAACAGAAAAACTGTTTTAAAAGAACACAGGTCACATAAAACTGGCTATCAGGCTTAGCAATTTAATTCTTGAACAGTTCGACGAGATACATATGAAACCATAGACTGAAATGCCTAATGATACTTTTCATATATCTCCATGGCTTATATTGTTCGCATTTTTTCAGCAACGGTAAAAAGTGGCGAATAAGGAGGAAACTGATTCAGCCATCCGTTCAGATGAGGAATATGGAGACCTATGTTCCTATATTTAACGAACATTCACTGGTGCTTGTGGATAAACTGAAGGAAAAAGCAGATGAATCCTGGATTGATGCTCAACACATGATAGTTCCATGTTCATTAGATATCATGTTTCGTAAGTATTTCTGTACATAATGACCAAATTTTCCAAATTTTCATTTCTGTGAATAAGAAAACTTTTAGTACTTTCGATAATGATTGCGATTCAAGCTGCTGTTCCAATGTAATAAATAGTTGAGTGTCATGGCAATGTTTGTTCCTGACTCCGGTGGTATGAATTTAATATTCTAACTTAAAAGACTCACCTAGTTCCAGTACGAAAGTATTAGTGAGTCATAATGTGAAGGCCAGAGCAGAAGAATGTGGGCAAGGGTATATGTGGTGCAGTGGAGAGTGATGCCCTCGGTCAAAAATGGACTTCATGATTTCTTTAGGAAGAACGGCAGTCAGCAGCAAAATGTCACAAGCGACTTGTGGCTGTATGCGATGTGCACGCTTCCTTGCGAAGCTCTTATTTAACTGGTTTCTTCGACAATGTACATATTGAGTAGTTGATATAACTGAATGACATGAGTGACAGACTAGGAAAGGAGGGTATTTTCATGGCTCAGGTTTGTGCTGAACTTTTGACCTACCTTGAGCTGCACTCGAGAAGAAAGTTTGTAACTAACATTTCTGCCAGCAACTACCGACACATTGATGGTATCGCAGTGCAGGTCCTGGTAGTGCTATTGATTTCAAGGGGGACTGGAGGGAGCAAACGGCTCTGGCTCGGTGTACTTCCGAACATTTAAGGAACCTCAGATTTTCTCGTGGTACTGAAACATTCTCACCTTGTACAAAGTGCAAAACCATGAAGCCACTGCGGAACATTTACTTAGTTGTGCCTCCAAGAAATGAATTTCTAAAAACTATTTCCTGGGAATGGAAACATTGAATCCTGGGAATTGAACATTGATGGTATCGCAGTACAGGTCCTGGTAGTGCTATTGATTTCAAGGGTGACGGGAAGGAGCAAACGGCTCTGGCTCCGTGTACTTCCGAACATTTAAGGAACCTCAGATTTTCCCGTGGTACTGAAACATTCTCACCTTGTACAAAGTGCAAAACCATGAAGCCACTGTGGAACATTTACTTAGTTGTGCCTCCAAGAAATGAATTTCTAAAAACTACTTCCCGGGAATGGGAACATTGAATCCTGGGAATTGAACATTGATGGTATCGCAGTGCAGTTCCTGGTAGTGCTATTGATTTCAAGGGTGACGGGAAGGAACAAACGGCTCTGGCTCGGTGTACTTCCGAACATTTAAGGAACCTCACATTTTTCCCGTGGTACTAAAACATTCTCACCTTGTACAAAGTGCAAAAACCATGAAGCCATTGCGGAACATTTACTTAGTTGTGCCTCCAAGAAATGCAACTCCAAAAACTACTTCCTGGGAATGGGAACATTGAATCGAGTTGGACAAGAATTAGCCATAACGCAATAGAATCACTTTTAACTGACCACAACGGAACCTTGCCGATTCCAGATAAGCGATTTTTCCGAATAACTGGAATATATATTTCCAGTTCATGTTTTGTGATACCATCTTCAGAAATTGCAGCATGCGAAATTGGTCGGAGTGCTTTTTGATAAATCGTTCAGAAATAAACAAACAATATTGAAAATCGTACAGCCTGATTAAAATCAAAACACACCCACATGATTTTATATTTCAGGAAAAACAAAATTAAATGATTTTTTTATTATTTTAATATACGCTGAAACAAACAGTAAACAGAGCCTTCAGGCTATCACGGTAAAGGTAGCTTCACGGCAAAGCACTAAAGTACAGCTTCCGACTCGGTCGATCGCTCTCAAGCTAATCTCTGAACACAGACACTACTTTCTTCGTGTACAGGCAAGGTATATATAGTTTTAACCTACCTTCAAGAATATTCTCGAGAAAAAATGCGTTCTAGAATTTTCTTGCTCCGTCTATGGCATATCGCCAATTTTGTTGCCAAATATCGCCAAATGAACAATATCGCTCCAAACGTTTCAACCCTGCTTTTAAGAGCCACTTTTTGGCAACCCTACACATTTTGTTAAAATTACTTGAAAGAATGAATGAACGATGCACCTTATTTTTCCGTTCGTGCCCAATGAAAGGGAACGGAAAATAGATTAGTATAAATTAAGAAGTTCGCCAAGTAAATTACTCTTGGCGCAAACTAAAAAAAGTACGCTTATGTAAATTTTTGAATTTCTGTATGTTTTTCACTAAATTTTACGAAATTTAATATTAAGGTATAATTTGAGTTGTAGAATCGACATATGGAAAAAATCGGTATGCGATTTGAGAAAAAGTCTTGTTTTCTGTCAAAATACCTATGTTAGAGCAATGCTCTCTCTCTCTCTCTCTATATATATATATAATTCTAATATATATCCCAAGTCGTGTTTCAAGATTTAAAGAATGCAAGTTTAATTTCATCAATCGGCCCAGTAGAATGGGAGATATAGAACTATCCTTCTTTTCTTTTTTTACAGAGTCTACGTATTATGTGATAAACGCAAGCTTTTCATACTAAATATAGGACCATTCTTGAAACACTGTCATTTAAAATTTTCCCCGATCTTGCTTTATTTATCAGATAGGAATTCCCAACTTCTATTCCTATTCTCCGTTACAGGACCTTCGAATGTTTCCAGGCAACAGTCGGTTGCATATCAGGTATATCCTAGGGTTAGCTCTTCAAATGAATGTTAAAGGAATTAAAGTTATATGCATAAGAACTTAGAGTAATTATTAATTAAGGAAATTGATTTAAACTCGTTAGAACTTATAATGATTAAATGAAACAATCTTACCTTCATACCCAGCAAATGACTGGACTATTTACACTGGTGAAATAAATTAAGAGAATTTGCGTATTTTATCGAATTGCATGGAAAGAATTGAACTGAAGGAAAAATCACTGCTTGTAGATAAAATACAAATCTTGTACGCCAAATACGTAAGCGTACGCGTGTGTAGGCAAGAACCAATAGAAAAACAGGCTTTATAAGTGCGTGTAAGGTAAGACAAATTGCGTTCGCTAGCACACCTCGGCGAATTTCTTGGTGTTATCTTGCAGAAATCGGTTAAATTCACATCGGAACAGTAAAAATGAGTAACCACCAACGTTTAGATGGTGGAATGAAGTGGCGAATTGTGGGGAGGACAGAGGCAGGCCAATCGCAAGTCCAGATATGCAGAGAGTTTAATTTAACACCCAGCGTCGTGTATAACCTATAGGAAACAGATTCCAGGATAATGGATCCATCGAGAAAAAAAAAAACTGGGGAAGGTCGTCCAAGAGCTGCAACGACCAGAGAAGATCGCTATTGGTACCATTTTATCGAGGCGTAACAGAGGGACTAGGCTTCTCAGCTCTCTCAGAACCTGCATGCAACCACCTTAGGAACCAGTGTAACAAGGGTGACTGTTTCCAAAACACTGAATGAGAGGGGGTTGTTTGCCAGAAGACCGGCTGTCTGCGTCCCGCTCACGTCTACGAAGAGAAGAATCCCATTAGCATGGTGCATGCAGCATAGTGATTGGAGTACGGAGCAATAATGGGCGACCATTCTGATCCTCGACGACCCCCGTTTTAGCCTAAACATCGATTTTCGCTGTACTTTCATATGGAGAGAGCCAGGGACCTGCTACCTACCCTCCAATGTCCGAGAAATCCACAATTATGTTGGTGGCGGTGTAATGATCGGGGCATGCATCATGTTGGATGGCCGCACACCTCTCCACGTCTTTGACAGAGGCTCTGTGACTGCTGTGAGGTATATAGATGAGGTTTTGGAACCCTATGTTTGCCTTTTCCGGCGTGCAGTGGGACTCGAGTTCATTTTACAAGACGATAACTCGAGGCCACATAGAGCTCTTTTTTTTTTCGACGAATTTCTCGAGAGTGAGGATATTTGCCGGATGGATTGGCCAGCCAGGTGTTCAGACCGCAACCCTATAAAGCATGTCTGGAACGCTCTGGGGAGGGCAATTGCAACTCACAACCTCCCTCCGAGAACCATCCAGGAACTGAAAACAGCGTTGCTGAATGAGTGGGACCAATTGCCACAGGCACTGATAAACTGCCTTATTTCCAGTACGACATCACGCTGCCTGTATGGCTGTAAGAGGAAACCATACCCCCTATTACCCCATTTCTTTTGTGTCTTCTGCAACTGCTGTTTCAGACCTTCAGACTCCCATGAGTGTTGAACATGTGTATCTATTATAACTGTTGAATGTTTATTTAGTTTGTTCTACCCATGTTCACACCAAATTTTTTTAAATCTGTCCAGCAGTTCTGGAGATAGTAGGTCAAATATGAAAATTCTCTTAATTTCTTTGCAGAGTATAGTATTACAATTTGCAGCTTGTCGTTTCTCAATTCATTTTCATCAATCTGTCACGTGCATATATTTCGGAATAAATACATATTTATTTATTTATGAGAACCTTCCTGGCTTGTCCACGTCTTGTCCAGAATCCTATAAAAATATACTGGAGATTTCTTGAGCCTAATGTTCGAGAGAATTATGGATAAAAAATTACTGTTTATTCATCAAGTAATAAATATTGTGACGATAAAAAACATCCAAAATTTGTCGTCAGAATCACAACTATTTCTACTTCTCTGAAATAAATTTAAGCTTTCCCGAATACCTAACATTATTGGACCATATAAAGTTTCCTCGGTTTTTGGGACATTTCTGAGCAAAAAGTTTCTTTATTGAAAATCAGTTTTCATCAAGTACGCACTGACCATTATTATCTATGACCTTTTGCCATTTTTCGGGTAGCTTTATAATTCTATTGGTGTAGAACTTCTATGCTTTATCGTCGAAACATTTGGCCAAGTGATTTTGGCCAAGTTTTCAGCGGCGCTTCGGTCTACCAATTTTTTACCATCAAGAGAGTTTTGCAGAGAACGAAACAAATAATAGACAGACGGTGCAAGATCCGGGCTATAAGGTGGATGCATCAAAATTTCCCAACCAAGTTCCATCAATTTCTTCTGAGTTATCAAAGATGTGTGTGGCCCCGCATTGTCATGATGGAACACAACTCCCTTTCTGTTGGCCAATTCTGGTCGCTTATTGTGGATTGCTTCGTTCAAACAGTCGAGTTATGCACAGAAAGGGGAGAACTGATGGTTTCACCAGATTGCAGTTACTCATAATGGACAATTCCTTTCCAATCTCAGCTTCTTTTTGTAGCCTGCTCTTTTTCAAATGATTCCAAGTGTCATGTGGTTGATGATTAGTGCCTCCACTATTTACTGACAGCTTGCGTGCCGGTCTTGCTCCACCAGTTGCAAAATTTCATCGATTTTTTCAGTGGCTGGCCGACCAGAGCGAGGTGCATCTTTGAGATCGAAATTTCCGGAACGGAATCGAGCAAACCATTCCTGGGTCCTTCGTTCACTCACAGCATTTTCACTATACACTTCGCAAATTTTTCGGCATGTTTATCCAGCGTTTTTACTTTATATTATAGTAGAAAAGCATCACATAGCGTATTTCTTCAAATATTTCACCCATTTTCAAATCAATATAACTTTTCACACGAGCAACGAATTAAAAAGCAATCTTCACAAACAATGGAGGCTGAATGTCCCATTTAAGCATATTTTCGTTTGAGACAATCGGGAGAGTGCTGCCGAATATATATGAAAGTTTAATAATGTTTGTAAACTTATACTCAAAATTAACTTTAATATAGTAAATAATATGCAAACTTTTTCATTTCAATATTGCTTGATGTTTCAGACTCTGCACTGGGAATTCAAATAAAGTGTCAAGAAGGATCTCGCGAAATTCAAGAAATGCCACAAATAGCGAAAGAGTGAGTACCTGGACCTACTTCTTATTTGATTTATTAAATAAATTATTTACTTTTTTTTTTCTTTCCCCCCCCCTTTTTTTTTTTTTTCTTTTCTAAAGGAAGTATTGTAATCACGAAAAACTTCAGGTTTCATATTTCAACGACAATATCCATTTTGACTGCTATCGAATGCAATTTAACGATGTTTTTGCGTCAGATCTGTACGTAAGGACAGAATAGAGGACTCTTTTTCCCGAAGCGAATTATAAAACTCATTTAAAATGGATTCAGAAGAGATTTTTTTTTCCGTGTCATCTGTACGTACGTAAGTAGAATTTCGCGTAACTGAAAAACGAGCAGCATCAGACCGTTGAAATTTTACATATAGGACTGCTGTAACATGCAGTTGTCACCTCGCTTTTCGGTTGCACCCAGCAGCGCAAAAAGTATGTAAATAAATATCTATATACCCACTCTGTTACTCGGCTCAGTGAGCTCAGTTTCTTTTTATTCTTATATGTTGATAAATTGTACATATTTTGCTTTAAAAATGATTGAATTATATTATTCTTATCTTGCATTTAAGGTTTTTATGACTTCAGGTAATCTGCATGCAGTAGTTGTAAAATTATCAACAATTTAAAAGTTCTTTAAGTGCGGCTAAGCCTAATTTTTAACCATAGCAGCCATATTTGTTTACAATTGAAACTTAGCAGAATGGGGAATTAAGTCAGTATCTGTACCTTCAGTTTATTTTTGCCGATTTGGACCAAAAGGAAACTTTTAGTTTTGAGCACGAATTGCTTACTTTTGCGTGGAAAAGCTGTAAATGATTTTAAAATTATTTTAGCTGTATTTGGTGTTTTATGTTTTTCTATATCTTCCAATTTTTAATGAAGTTATTTTGAGGTTTTATATATTTTTGCCTTGCCGTGAAGGGAGAACTGAATTAATTGAATGTGAAATCTACCTCTAATGAAATTCGTGGAAATAAGTTTAAATGGAATGCAGCAAAAAAGGGCGTATAATTTAATATTCCATACAAGGAAGTCATGTGGTGTCCGCATCAGATTTTTAACATTTGTTATTGAAACTCTTGCTATCAAATTCACATGAACAGTTAATATTAAAAGAGTTTGCAAAGCCTAGCAGTAAAATCGTTGAATACTACCCACATAGCACAAAAACATCCTTACATATAATTGCACAGCATAAGTATAAACCTGAAAGAAATATAATTTTCTAAATGATATATAATATGCTATTATGTAGGTAGGAAATTTATGCCCGTATATAGTTCCATCAGTCTATAACTTAGTCAGTCTAAAATGTTCCTTCACCTTCTGTGGTCGACTAACTAATAATGTGGTCTAAAATTATAATTAATTAAAATACAAATGAAACTTAGCAACAAACTTTTGTTTGAAAACATCTTGGTTTGACAACTAAAGAGAAAATACACAACTCAAAACTATAAGACTACTCGTTCACAGAATTATTATAAATGGATTAATGTCTTTCTATTGATTGAGTATTGTTCGTGACTTATTTTTAATATCACAAGTCCTTTAGCGAATATCTACTTGTTAACAGATGGGCTATTTAGGATTCTGTCTTGATTCAAATAGCCATTACTTTAATGATCAAATATTACCTCAGATTTGAGGAAATAAAAAGGAAAAATATCATATTATATGTATTAAATCCGCATTTTTCAGATTAACAGAGCACATGATACGTAGAATGGTTCAACCTTGGCTTTGGTTTGATACCATCTTCTACTGCACTTCCGCAGGGCGAAAATATCAAAGTGCTGAGAATAAAGTACGAAATTTCGTTACTAAGGTAAGAACTCTGATATTCCTTCTGATTTTGATTCCTCACTCTTAAATTCGTTCCCTTATTACAGGTGTTGTCATTCGGGAGGAATGATTCCGAGAGAATTTGGTCAGTCATTTATTTACATTTTAAGAATTTAGTTTTAGTTTATAAATATATATATATTATATATTAAAAAAAAAAAAAAAAAAAAAAAAAAAAAAAAAAAAACCTTTTATTGAGAGGCTGGGAGCCGCAGCCTTGTAATTTACTAATGATTAAATACAAAATGCCATCAGTGGATTTTCGTCTTAACCCAGGATCTATTAGTAAAAATACATTGATTGGAACTTAAAGAATAGCAGCTATTTATTTACAACTAACACAGAAGCATTATTTCTTCATAGTTCGTCTGTGCAATCACTAGCGTCGTGTGCAAGTCATTGTAAACAATGTAAAATTTCGAAGTAATTCCTTCTTTTAAGAACCAAATCATAGTCACAAGTCTTAAAATATAGTGAATGACAATCTAGTTCTTAGCACTAATGAGCAAACAAATTTATAAGGAAAGTCCCTTCAGACAGAATAAGATAAATGCACTAATTAAATAAAAACTAATAAATATGAATATTCAGTTTTTTTTCCAACTTTCAAGGGTAACAGAGATTTATTTCCTTCAAAGCAGGAGTAATTTAAATTAGAAAAGTTTATGAAATAGTATTTCATTAACCGAAAGCTATCACGAACAAAATGGTATATCTTTATGTCTGAGGTACCAAGAGAAACAAACTTGAATATTTCAACGTTCAAGAAAGAGTTTAGTATCAAACGCAATGATTTACAAAGCACTACTGTTACGGTGAAACACCGAAATCTGGAGAATGTCGATTTTCACATAGTCTCTTGGTGTATGTCCGAAATATTTTCCAAATACTCTTATTTCTGACTTACACCGGTCAATGTCGACATTCACCATGTACTAATGGTGAATATATAACAATATTATATTTTCTCCGTAATTCAGTCGCGAATAAACGCACTTGATACTTGAAATAAGAACTTAAGAACATGAGAACCTAAAACACACAATACATTCAAAATGAGAAAGGAAAATAATAGAAGTTAAAAACTTACTTAATTATACAGTACGTTCTAAATGAGAAAATAAAATAACAGTAATAAAAAACTTACTAAATTATGTGATTCAAATCTTATTTATTGCAACAACTTAAACTATTATGGCACTTTATGAAAAGTTTTATAAGTTAATGGCCTAAAACTGCAATGGTATATTACAGTACAAGTGAAAATATTGACGGTTTCACTCACGCGTGTGTTGGATTTGCACAATGCTTATGGGACCCCACAAAATTTTCGTAAATATTAGGGAGTCCAGGAGTTGCGAAAAAAATCTCAGTGATAAAAAGGGTCGTGACTGAAAAAAGTTTAAGAAGCCCTGCTCTACGTCATGGAAGAAGGCAATATTTCTAAACCATTCATTTTTCACGGAATTAAATAATCAGTTTTATTATTTAATTATTTAAATCAGTCTAATTAGATTTTGATTCCTTTTAACAAACATTTTCATCAAAATGAAGATATTATATTTGGGTCAGATTTATCTATCAATTACCATACGAACGATGTTGTCAACTATTCGAGCAATCAGGAAATTTGAGAAATAACGGCTGAACTTACTTAAAGAACTAACGGTAAATTCTTCCAAAAAGCAGTTACTAGTAATACTGCCCATTTGCCACAAATTCCTAATTTTGCAATGATATTAATTCTGAAAAGACATTATCATTCGCCTTTATGCACCGTTCTTCCTTTGGGAACAAAGTTTTGTCATTTGGCATATTTGCTCTGCCATGTACGTATATATCTCGTTTATTTCCAGAAGTTGATTTTTTTTTTGTTACTTATGCAATTTTATAGTGTACATGTTTCTTTGTTGTACCTTTTTTTGTGGTATAGTATCGTTGTTTGAATGGGCACTTATTCTGCAAACTGCAATAATGGTCATTCATTTGAATGCATGACTACATGACAACCATGACCCCTAATTCTTCCTACTCTGCTGTCATCCAACTGGGTCTCTCCTAGCTAAATAACTAAGGCCATAAAAATACTTGGTTTTATTAAAGCATCCTCCTGACAACCGATACGTAATACATTATTTTTGATAGCAGATTTTTCAAGTTTAACATAAAATACATCGTATTTACGTCTATCAGTCCTTCGCGTTTTACCATTACGCGACGATCAAACAGCCGTCTACTTTGCAAGTGCTCCGCACTCTGTGACAGCTCAAAGTATACTGTTGAAAAATCGACTGTTTGCTGGACTAGAGATTCCGCTGTTCGGCGCTTCGGATTGTCCCAAGAAAAAAAAAACAGTCATTACTGTGGAAAGTAAATTTGAAAAACAACACTAATAAACATTGAGTTGTTACTAAACTACGATTTATTTACATGAATTTAAAATAATAAGAAAGAAGAATTATCGTCACAACATCCGCATACGTCTGCATTCCTTATCGTTAGCATGTCGCCTACGCGTTCATCTACGTGGCGCGTGAAAGTTATCGTCATATAATTACACGGCAGTTTTCCACATAATTCGGCCAGCCTACGTCATCATCTTCCCCCAGTGGAACAGTGAAATTCAGCGTATGAAATAGGCTGAAATTGAAAATTTTAATACTATTAAACAGTTAATGAAAACAGTACTGAAGCAGGATCTTCAAATAACAGCAACTGTAAAAATTTAAAAAAAAAAAAAATAGTTAGTGAACATTATGAAAGAAAAGTTTGGTAGGATTAAAATCCAAAAGGGGTTGAATAGTTCTTACGAGGAAATGCCCATAATAAACTAACGCTCCGGTAAGATGTTCTGATGAACCAGTTCAAGGTTTCATAAATTCGGCACTAGTGCTTGTTTTCACAGGTACCACATTTTTCAACTTCATAGATATCATTTTGCTTGATTTTCACGGTCCAAGAAACTTGGATTTTACTTTAAGACCAGTTCCATATTATGTACGCTTCTTATCCTTTAGGTTAGGATTGTTAGTATCAAGCACTTCTTGCTAAATAGCATTTTCTGCCCAACGCGCCGAACCCAATGCTTCCTAGCTGCACTTGTTTGGGCCAGCCACTTTGTTTATAAGGTTTGACAGCCCCTCAATAGAGCCCACATAATTAAAACGATAAGTGCTATCTTCACAAAATTTTACTTGTGTACTCGTCTAAGCCTAATTAGACTGCCTACCCTTTTTTTTTTTTTTTTAATCAAAACTCCGACCTTAAAAGGTAGTGTGCGGAAAGAGAAAAAAACACACACTGATGGAGTCACAAAACTCATAATTTAATGCCCATAATGTTCGATGATTACGATCCATCAGCATATAACCTCTGGACAGTTCAAACGCTATTCAGTCATCTCATATACTCCAAACTTAGTTACAAAACATCTCTCATTCTATCAGTTGTTAATTGTGCTATGTTTTATGCTCTTCCTAAAGTTAAAAAATATGAATTCTTTTTCAACTTTAGTTCATAAACATATAAATACAAGCCAGCCAGTTCACTTTTGAAACTGAATCAAATAACGCTGTTTCTTTCCTTGACATACCCACAACGAATTTCATTTCAACACTACTGTTTACCGTAACCTTTTTTCTGTTTGCCTGCTTACCTAAAGTAATCTTTTATTTAAAACTCCTAAAATAATTAATGAATTTAAACAGGAAAACAAAAAATTCGTATAGTGTAACTGTAATATGAGGTTAAGTAGTAATTCTCTTCACAAAATTCTTCTACAGTTTTACACCATGAGCCATAAAAGCGTGTTCTTGCTAAATTTCTAAAGATTATGGCTTATACATCTGACAATACAATTCAATTAATACAGTCAAAAGTCTTTAATCCGGACTTGTTGGGACTTCGGCGATTCCGGATTATCGGTTTTTCCGGATTATAGATCATCAGTTTAAATCTGGTAAGACGGCATGCAGAAATTATAAAATTAAAAATATGAAACCGTAATTTATGAAATAAAGAGCAATTATGATCTAAAGGGTATCAAAATTTACACACACACACACACACACACAAAAAAAAAAAAAAAAAAAAAAAAAAAACTTAATATTTATTTATTTGCTTTATTAAACATTTCTTTCAACGCGCGCATGCGTAAAGCATACATTACGCATAGTCGAAATTAGAGAATTGCAACCAGAAAACTATTTGATGTGAATTCGTGATATTTATAATGACGAAGAATTTGACTTAAATCATATCAAAGACGGAGTACAAGGAATTATAAGCCGAATAAAATAAAAACATCTGCCCTGAAGATAAGGATTGTGCTGACAGATCAACTCTTCCAGTTCATTGCGCGCCGCGACGTCCCCCCCCGCAGAGCAGCGTGAAATTGATAAACAGATTTCGGAATGGTTAGAGAAACAAAGGATATGCTTTTATCCATTTTTTGAAGCAATTCCACTTTTTGTTTAATGGACATCGAAACATGCTTTTGCTTTGTAGATCCTTTGGCAGCTCCAGAATCGGAAATTCTTTTTTGACATAATCGAAAGTTCAAGCTTACTTTTATAAAATTGCTCTAACATTCTGCAAAAAATAATAAGCCGGATCCAATTAGAAGATTAAGGAACAACGCAATCTGCAACATTAACTTAAATACATAATTAGATAACTTTAGCTTAGCTTATGAAAGTTTGTAGCCTTGAGGTCCGGATTATAGATCATTCCGGATTATGGACGTCCGGATTAAAGACTTTTGACTGTATATTTCATTAGTAAGGCTCTCACTCTTTTTATTTAAGTTCTTTTTTCTAGTAAACCAGTGGTCTCAAACTGAAATTGCATGCAGTCTGAATGCACAATCTACAAACAGATGACCAACAAGAACTTTAATTTTTACCAAAATAAAAGTTTTTTCTCAACGGAATAAAAAAATACTTTAACTGAATTTTAAATTTCGCTTGCAAAATATTTATTAAAACACATATAAACAATAATAGCGCAAGGAAGCAAATTAAAATTTGTATTCATTTTCTAAATAAAATCTAAGTTTTGGCACTGCACGACATTTTTTTTTTTCCTACACCGGGTAATTTAAACATACTGACAGCTAAATATTAAATTTCAAGGCTTTCATTTATTTCAAACAATTATAATATATGTAATTAATCGTAAAGCAAATTACTTTAATTTAAACTTTTGATTATCTGTACTTATCTGTGATTTCAGGTCATCCTGGAAGGTAAAAAAGCTTTAGAAACAAAGCCACGAAGTATTAAATGCAGCCAGCAATCTGAAAATAAAAATAAATTTTTCTTAGAAATATTACTGGAAGAACATACTAAGGATGAAAATTTCACTTTAGATCACATTCAGGACGAAGTAATAAATTTTATATTTGCAGTAAGTTAGTTTCCATGACTTTTTTCTGCTTGCAATGCGTAATTTCGATTATTTTTTAAAGCTTTTTATTCTTTACATGCACTATATAGTCATAACAGTATGATAGACATTATATGAATTTTATCGTATAAATGATAAACTGATTTTAATAAAGAAACATTCAATCTCAAAATGATGTTGGTTTTATAAAGAAATTGTATTCTAGAGTCATTAGGTTATTTGGGAAGCGGAGTCATGAAAAATGAGCAGTACTCTCCCCGGTACTCGAACCTCGGACCTCTGGAATACGCGCCGAGCGGGCGGACCGTTACACCATGAAGGCACACCGAAAGACGGGAGAAAATGAAATATAGTACATCCTTCCGAATGTAACTGGAATGAATTCCTCTTCTTCAAGAAGTAAAAATTCTTCTAGCAATTGGGCGAAATAACTTCGTGTCCGTATTATGTGGTGACTCTGTATAACTTTGGGCTGATCGCACGGGCTCGTCTCGGCGACGTATCTTTCAAGTATCTGCCTTATCAACTGTCGATAGTATGTTACAAATCTACCATGGTCTCAACGGATGATGGAACTAGGATTCAATTCCAGACAGGGATCCTGAGAAACGGCTACCGCATCCAAGGAAGGCAACAAGCTCGCAAACTACCCATTCCCAGAACAAGGGGGTAGTGACGAAAAATCTCGATACGGAACTCTTTTGAAATCCCGTAACTGGAATGAGTACACTCTAAATCAGTTATTCTCAACTTTTTTAAAGTTTCCGCCCCCTAAGGAGCGAAAGGGTTTTCAACGCCCTCTATGTCAAAATCCTGTAATTTAGGGTATGGGAAAGGGTGGTTCTTAAATTATAAAAGACAAAAATTTTAAATAATTTTTTCAGTGGACTTTTTTCAGTACGAAAAAAAAATTCTTAAACGCTCTTTCCTGTTTAAAACATTCTTTATTCTTAATTAAATAATTAAAAAAAAGGACAACAAAAATTACACTAAACGAGTAATATGAATGAAAAAATCCAGTATGCACAGTGAGATGTTAAAAGGCGCAAGTCCATCTTTCCACGATTTGGAGTCGACTTCTCTTTTTTGTAATTAGGTCAGTCACATCATTGAATCCTCGCTCGAGAAGGTAGGAGGAAGGGAAGGGAATTAAAAAGCGTTTGACAATAGTCCACAATCCTGGGTAGAGGCGACTGATGCTACTTTGAAGGCAAAATTTTGTGAGACGATCACCATTCTTGAGACTTTCAAAGTTTCATTAGTTGAAAGTTCGACTAGTTCTTCTTGAATCTGATTTCTGCTTTCAAGTGTTATGTATGCAATTAGGGATCAGCTTTCTGTATTTCTGTATTCAGTATCATGTTAGTTTTTCACTTTAATATTCAGTTTTGTACTTATGTATGTATTATCCTGTCTGCAAGTACTACGAAATAAAATGTAGATGTGTGGTTGCATTTGTAAAACAACTCCAGTTTAAGTTTGAGCAAAGAACTAAATTATGCACGTATTTGTCATCTTAGTGATAACAAGTACACAATCTCTTAAATGTTTTTACATAAGAGTCAGGCACATGGAAAGTAATCTGCGTTAAATTACGTTTGGTTTTTTTTTAAATCATTTTTTATCTCTCTTTTTTCTTTTTTTTAAAGTTTGCTATGTGCAATAATTTAATAGGTTACATCTTCCCTCCATGCAGGATCAACAACTTTATAAAAGCCCCATAAATATATGACAAGTGTGTCAGGATTAGCATCCGCATGTAGACATTTAGCAAGTCCAGAAAATCCACGGCAGTTGATTTTTCAGGCAGAGTCCTCCTTTCTTTACTTTATCTAACACAAGTTTCTGTCTATTCTAACAGCGATTCTTAACAGTCTTTTGATTGCTTCTTTGTTTAATTTTAAGTAGTTCCTAACAGAATATTTTTTCCCCGAAAAACAGCATCCAAGCTTACATGTAGACTTTATGAGGCTCTTAGTCGTCTATTCGGCTGCTTTCTTGGAGCAGGGTGCAGCAGAAAGTAGATGGTTTCTGCCAGGAAGATAACACATTGTGAGACTAGGCCAGGTCAGTGGTCTTCCTTGGTGGCGCTCGCTCACTCACTCATAAAAGAGTTTATGATCCATTGAGGGACTTCCAGGGACAAAATATCCTCAAAACGCTCAGAAAAGTCCTTGTGCAAAGATTCAAGGTGTTGAAAGTAAACTTGTGTTTCGGCGAACTGGATTTCACTGCACTTATGCAGACTCGACAAAATCGGAAACTGTTGCGACCAAAATTCTGCTTCCACGAAGTGAGTTTTTTAGAAAGGCAGAAATAACAGATTTTGTTATTTTCAAACTGAGCTCTTCACCCTGAAGCTGCAAATTAATTCCATTGAATGTTGCGAATAAATCGGTCATGTTAACAACATCAAGCTTAAATTGTAGCAATCTGTCTTTCAGAGCTGCATCTTTCTTTTCGAGAAACTAATTACAGAGTCAAAAGGATGCCAGAACCTACTGATTCAGGCACCTTTGGAGAGCCAGCGAATCTCGGTTTGTAAAAGCAAGGGATGGAATTCTTCATCGTTGTCGCTATACTATCGCTGTCTGAATAATCGAGCGTTGAGAGTATTACTGCGAATTTTGTTCATTGTAGAGATTATATATTGAATTAACTGATGCAAACGGCCGCTGAGGTTTTTTTCAACTAAATGTTGCCTATGAATCGCACAGTGAATATCTAAAATACTTGGTACCTCTTTCTTCAAAAGGGCGGTGAACTTACGATGACGACCCACCACTGAAGGAGCACAATCAGCGGCAACAGACATAATGTTCGCAAGAGGAATATTTTTCTCTTTAAAATAATCTTTGACAGTATTAAAAATACATTCATCAATCTTTATCTTTAAAACAATCTTTGATATTATTAAAAATAAATCATTGAGGTATCTGCAATCAAGTTTTTTGTAAAAAGCATCTCTTGAATCATTTTTCCTTCCTTCACAAAAAGGACGTATGCTAACTGTAAACCCTCATTAGTATTTATCAAGGTTGCTTCATCAACTTCAAGAGAAAATCGGTGAGTTTCAAAAGTTTGCATAAGAAATCTTCAACATCTTCAGCTATCTCATCAGTTAGTCGTCGCACTGCATCATTGCTTAATGGGACATTTTTTATAATATTGGATGTGGCTGGATGGCGTAAAATCGTTTTTTCTAAAGCTCCTTTGTCAGCCTGAAGTATCAATTCTTCGCCGATGGTATGAGCTTTCATCGATTTAGCAATTAATTTTGGTATATTATAAGAGGCTATCAAACCATCGTCGTATTCTTTTGATGACGCTACTAGTAAGCCTGCGACAAATGGTGCTTTCAAGAACTTGTCCTTGATGTTCGTGAAAAACGACAAATAGCTGAAGCATGCGCTCTGCTGGTTGGGATCGCAGAAAAACCGTAGTGCGAGTTCTTCAAAGTCATCCTACCTAGAATATAAATTCGCTTCCACAATCTTAGGAGAAGTCGTTTGTTGTTTCGTTTTGTTGCTGGTGAAAATGGTGTAAACCGAGTAATCCATTTAATAAATTATCTGGGAGTTTTAAAATGAAGTTCGAATGCCAAAACATGCTCATCGCCCTCTGTCACCCAAAACAAGTTCACCGCCCCTCAGCACCCTCTTACTGGCCACCGTGGGGGGGCGGTACTGCACCGGTTGAAAACCAATGCTCTAAACCCTTTAACGAGGATCAATTAGGTAGCAAATGGAGGGCAATTGGAATTACCTTGCCAGCAGCAGCAGTAATTCAATCTCTAATAGCGTATATTAAAAGCTGTTGCGGTTAAAAAGCTCACAGTTGGATTTCAGTTCCAGACGGGTGGTCCGTATATTGGTGGTTACTGCCAGTTCTGAACAGCCAGCTGGTAAGAATTTGGGGAGGACCCGACACGCCTGGCCGATTTGACTTCTTCACTGACTACCAATAAGTATTTGGACACCTATGCAAATGACGATATCTGGGGTCCTAAGGTACATCACGGACTCCGCCGGTATATATCGTGTAAGAAACAGCATCGGCTTTAGTCGCATGCAAGATGCCTCGCAGTTCGGAGCTCTCTGATTTCGAGAAAGGTATAATTATCGGGTATCGCAAATCTGGCCGATCCTTAAGGGACGTATGTAGCGAGCTGAAGTACCCAAAATCGACAGTGGCCTATGTGATTAAGAAGTGGAAGTGAGTGGTAATTGTCGGAATGTGCCCCTAGTCGGCAGACCAACGAAATTGGGAGATAGAGACCAACGAGTGCTGTCCAGAGAAATTCGGAAGAACCGCACCCAACCGATGGCCCTCATCCGCGAGGAGTTTCAACAAGCATCCGGGAGTATTGTTTCGATGAATACCATCCGTAAGGAAGCACATCTGTTTGGTTTTCATGGTCGTGCTGCGGCCCATAAGCCTTTGATCACAAAGTCCAACCGCGCTGCTTGGTTAATGTGGTGCAAAGCACATCGAAATTGGACCGTAGATCAGTGGAAACGAGTTCTTTGGAGTGACGAATCAAGGTTCACCCTTTACCGTTCGGATGGCAGGGTCTGGCGTTTACCTGGAGAACGTCTCCTGCCAGAATGCATTGTGTCAACAGTCAAGTTCGGCGGAGGTGGAATTATGGTCTGGGGGTGTTTCTCCTGGTATGGGTTGAGACCCTTGGTCCCCATTCATGGTAAGCTCAATTCCGATGCTTACTGCACTATTTTGGATGACAATTTTTGGATATTGTTATATATAATATATATATAATATATAATTTTTGGAATACTGCACTATTTTGGATGACAATATTTTGGATGACAATATTTTGGATGACAATACTGCACTATTTTGGATGACTGTTTTGGATGGTTCCTACGTTGCGGCAGTTTTACGGGTTGGACCCCTGTTACTTTCAGGACGACAATGCCAGTTATCATGTTTCGACGTTAACCAAGGCTTGGTATGGTGCAAATGAAGTTTATCGAATGGACTGGCCTGCCCAGAGTCCAGACCTGAACCCTATCGAGAACCTCTGGGACGAGTTGCGTCGCCGAATTCAGGGGTGCACTACCTGTGCAAAATCGGGGAAGAAACTTCTATGTCTTCTCCAAGCCGAGTGGAAGAAAATACCACTAGCTGTCATACAAAGACTTGTGGAAAGTATACCCTGGAGGGTCAACGCTGTAATTATCTCTCGTGGAGGCTCTACCAACTATTGATTTTTGAATAAAATTAGTTTTTCTTTTCTATCACAGGTGTCCAAATACTTATTTTTAGTCAGTGTTGATCATCCTGGATCCACCTCCTTCGTGCCACATACGACGGCAACCAGTGGCACAGCCATGCTCCCGGATTAGCCAGGAGTTATTTAATTAAGAATCTTTAAAGTTCAGAGACACTAAAGTGAGGGGCCGAGTAACATAAAAAGTTAGTATAAAGGAACTAATGACGTTAGATGGTCTTTTAATGATGATTAAAACATATAGATATATTTGATTTCTAATGTCCTGTAACTGCCAGCGACCTTTTGACTTAGTACTGGGCATAATACCTGTTAATAGAATTATTTCAGTGAAGCCAGTGAAGAAAGAGTTCAGAAGAGCGAGTGTTAGATGGTGATGCGTATGTCAATTTTGTTTCAATAGAAATCCATATTGCATGGCTAATTATATTTTAACGGTAGCCTTCTATATCTAGGAAGGGTAAATGATAAAATGGGCTGAAAGCAATTATCCAAAATTTGTGGTTAAATACTTTCTTACCATAAATATTGCAATAAAATTTCATGCCAGTGTCTTACCATATTCAAGTTTTAATTACTCATGTAAAGAAATAGCAATGTATTTTAAGAATTCTTCCCGTCATTTCTAACAATTATTGACATTTTTACCTTCCCTACATTACCATTAAGTAGAACAAGTATCCGAATGCGTTAAAATTTGTTTGCATGTATGTAAATTTTCCCGAAAAATAATGTTTGTTTTCATAGGGCTATGATACGACAAGTACCGCTTTAAGCTGGGCTCTTTACCTATTGGGCCTACATTCAGATATTCAGGATAGAGTATATCAAGAGTTATATTCTATATTCGGAGATGATAAGGCAAGAAATGTTACTCTTGAAGATGTGAAGAATATGGCATATCTAGAACAAGTTATCAAGGTACGGATTTTTTAAGTTAAAATGCGCTTTTAATATTTAGATATTGTACATAGAAATGAAATTTAAGAATAAAAATTTTAAATCTATTAATTTAACCGAATTAGTGTCACAAGTAATGTGATAAAAGAAGAAACGCAAGAAGTTAAAACGTTTTCTTGCTATTTCCTTATTATATATATATGTATATAGTATTTTTGTCACATCTTCACCACTTTGCTGTACATAGTGTTTATAAATTAACTGTTCGGTTTAAAAAAAATAATAAATCAATGTATCACTTTATATGGACAAATCTTACAGCATAAGCAGCGGCAGCTGTCTAAGCTTTTGATGCATTAATCACAGTCCTTCAATATGCACACTCTTGGTCACACTACACACATCTACACCGTAATCAAATTCTCCTCATATTTGGTGTAGCAAGTCCGCCCTGAAGGTCTGCACTTCTTTATCCGATCACAAACTTCCTCGAGGACTTGGGCACTGGCAGTATATAAACTCGGTTTTTAACAAACCCCCAAAGAAAGAAATCGTATGGTGTTAATACGGCGAACGGGGTAGCCAAGAGCGAAGGTTGTAGTCTTCTGCTGCAGCACGTTCAATCCTACGTTGGCGAAGAACACGATTAAGAAACTCTCGCCCATTCCTGTGAAACCGTCTATTTGCAAAATGTAGTCATCATAATTCGTGTTCACCTAGAGTTACAGCTACGTTTCCAGCATGTTTAGAAATGAGTCACCGATCACAGTGTATTGTTCGAAGAAAAATGGGCCGAATATATTCTCGCGGAACACCACACAGAAACATACACGAAAATCCCGTTGCACCGAAACCACGGATCTGGATACCTCAAAACGGAGCACACAGCCTTTTCTTGTTGCGAAGCCATCTTAGGAAACTGACCCTGCGGCTGTGCAGTAAGCATGACAAGCAATGGGCAGGTAACACATGAGAAACTTGGACAGTTACAAATGCTTACGATGTACGTTTTATACGAGTAAATTTATGATTTATAATAAATGCGGTATGTAAAAAGATATTGTGTTAAATATTTCTCGAATGATTGGTCGTAGATCAAAGATTCCAGTTTAAAAAATTAATTTTTGTCACGTGACATCTTTTCGGAATATAAACTTAATTTTAAGCTAGCATTTTTACAACTAATGTTTTAAATTGTTAGTTGTTATTTACCTTATTAAAATTTCTTTCGAAAAAAACAATTCTGTAATGCGCAAAATTGGTCCTAATGCAATATTACATTGCGTCAGTCATTTTTGCCTCTCATGATAAAAAAAAAAAGTAGAATACTTCGATTTCAGAGACTATGAAAATACAGTAATGAACTTTTTTTTTTTTCAAAATTTAACGTTTCTAAAAACAAGAACTGAAAATTCATACTTTCATTATTATTGCTTTAGTAAGTCCTTTTACGAATTTATATTTTTGAATCATATGCACATCTCTTTTCAGCTCATTTTATACACCAGTTCCAGGTTCCGTTACATTTGCAGAGATTACGAATTATCCATCCGGTAAATCGTTGTTCCTATTGGACGAAATCAAGCCACAGCAATGCGAATATGGAATCTGTGATCTTTACATGATGCATCCCGATACTAGTTTGTCACCTAGACATAAGCTTTGGAGTGCCATTGGATTTTATTTCCTAAGATCGCCCACGCATTGCCAAAACATTGTTACGTCTCTGAAGTTATGTCTGTTACGAACCTGTTACGTCTGAACAACAACAGAATTTTTGCCTGTTGTTGTTCCTTACATTTAATGCTTGGCTGCAGCCATGTTCAAAATGGCAATGTCCAACCGTGTGCTACACGCAACTCAGCACTCACCAGATCGTACTGTTGCCCTGCCACACTCTTATCTACATGTTGTCGCATATCGAATGTATATGATTGGTGATTGGCAAAGGATTGGTCTAGTACACATCAGCCGCTGCTACATCAGATGGGATTTAGTAACATGTGGAAACAGCATAAGCTAACATAAACCAGGCACACATCCAGATTACCTTTTTTTCAGTACTGAGGCATAATAACAGCAATTATTGTCAGCCATTGCAGCTACACAAAACTAACTTTTTTCGTATTTCGCAATCGAAAGCAGCTGTAATTTAAATAAATAAATTCACACTTGTAAGTTGTACTTTATATTATTATTTGTGCAGTAAATATTGCTTAGTCTTCTTGGTGTTGCATTTTGGATGACCAATAGTGTAGGCTTTTTAAAAGATTTTGTACGTCTCATAAAACTATATATTTCACATACATGTATTTTAGACTAATATAATGTTGCATATAATCATATAAACTATGTAGCTTAGGAAAAAAGCCATGTAAAAAAGAACAGTAAATATGTCCTTGAATTACAAAGAGAGTTAAGGATCCATTCAAAACATTTTTCTTTCCAAATCTCTAACGACACAGCGGTAAAAGTCGCTGAATACTGGTAGTTCGACCCGTGTCAAATACTGACGAACGGGCTGGCTGCATGAGAGTTTTCGTAGTTTACTTCTGAGTAAACTGGGTACGAGTCAGTTTTCTTTAGATCTTCAGGAAGGTATCCCTCCCGTTAGGCAGACAGCCATAGCGCAGTTTGCGTATTTAACAAAAACTAACAACGATTTTTATGACGCATCAGTGTTAACTTCTTTCCACCTTTAAAATTAGCACAATTACAGCACATGTATTTTTACACGTAATGGCGGCATGGTACAAATCATTTTCTTGTGAGGAAATTTAGCGCGCATTAATAACGCTTCAATAATCGGTACGTTTTGTGGAAAGAAATATTTTATACGGATTTTTTTAACTACGGGGACGAGCATAAAAAATTTAAATGGGAAATTTAGCCATTTCCTATCATTCACTTATTTAAAGTTAGGTAATTTATGTTCCACTGAAGAAAAAAAAAAATCTGTTTTTCGAAAAGGCTGGAAACTTCTCTCAATTATAACGCAAGTAAAAATTTAAAATGATTTTTTTTCAAGTATTAAAATCACATTTTTCTTCACAGTCTTACGAGTATTACTTCTAGTTTCGAAATTAGCTATACATAAATGTTTTTAAAATGTTTCCAGTCATAAATATATATGAATAAGAAAAATGTAGCATTTAGTAAGGAATAAAATCAGTTTCAAAGAACAAGGAGAAAAATTAATGATTACGAACAAATATATGCATATTAAATTTAATAATTACATAGAATAGCTACAAAGCTTATTAATATCTAGCCTGACAAATTCAATCAACACTTTAGATAGAAATTTACATCCTTTCATGAGTCCTGTCAGCCTAAATTTTAAATTAATCCAGGTTTTATTTGAAGTACCTAACCTAATCAAAGCCGTCAACAGGGAATATTTTAAGCATGCTAGAAAGTTTGATTATATTCATACTGATGTTGACTTCAAACTTCTTTCTTTGGAAATAGATAAAGCCTGTCATAATTAATTTAGAATCACATTATATCAGGCCTGCGTTTCTTCCAGCATTATTCAAAATTAGTGTTGATTTTATTCCTGTCAAATAAACATGACATAAAGCTATTTTCATAAATTGATAGAAATATGCTACTAGATCTGTAGGAATTTTAATTCAATAATAAAAACTAAAATGGTCTCAGCACACAGTTATTGTTGCGTTTGCTGTTGGTACCGCATTTTTTCCCAATGCCAAAGCAAGCGCCATCCCACTGAAAAACGTGAATGAAAAGATAAAATTTTTAACTATCTAAATAAAAAAATAGAAAATTGCAAATCTGAGGAAAACTGCCAAACAATAATTTCCCAGAAACTATCTCGAAAAGGAAAACTATCTACCTAAAAGCTACCTGTCAAGCAAGAGATGATGAGAGAAAAATTAAAACAGCAGAACGAATTAAATGTTCAGACTTAACAATAGATAGAGTATTATAATGGTGTGAGGATTATACTAAGTTTTTAACAGTTATCTTTAGTTAAAGCTACTTTCCTATCTCTCCTAATTTCAGCTTACAATTTCCCACCAGAATGTGTTTTAGAATTACGGTTAATACAAATGAGAAAGAGCAGTATTTAAGTCGAAGTTCCACTAACTTCGTTAGAGAGTCAGTAATTTGCCTAGCGCGCGTTTGCCTTGTGGCTACACTCTCTCTAAGCTATTACTATACTCAGCCGTATTTCAGAACCCTATAGCTTCGCCTGAAATACGGCTGAGTATAGTAATAGCTTAGAAAAGCATGACTATAGCTTAACTCTTACGCATCGAAGTCGCACCAAACGTCCGAGCAATCAAACATCGGCTGGACGCCCGAACCACCTGAGTAATTTCCTACCTAGTGCTTTCCCCCATCACGTTACTGCATTACTCATTGCTTTCAGGTGTTGTTAAATGACATGTCAATCATTCTTTTGAAGCTACTAAAAGTAGTTCTATTATTTGAATGCTCCTTATCTTTCCTTTGTTTACTGTCAGTGTTTAGCTTTTGATGCCCGAAGTTGCAATCCTGTCCCAAGGGGGAACTTCACACAGGATGAATATGTCCAAGAAAGAGGTTCTCGCTTTACTTAAGTAGGCTATTGTTAGCTGTAGTATTCAATTTGTCGTGGGGGAAGGAAAAGCATTGCAGGAGAAATTCGTAGACACGGGCGTTTTCGATGTTTGGGGAAAAGAGATTTTGCCCTCTCTCGATGGAGTTAATAGCTTCGCCAATTTAGTTGATATTTAGGGGCCAACTACTTCGAATTTTGATAGCTGCGGCTATATCATTTTAGTTATGCATTAGTTAAGTTTGATTTCGTAGTACTCTTGATTTCAAACCCACGTGGAGGCTTTTCTGTACGCTCTGAGGAAGGAGCCGACTGTTAAATTCTTATCTTGAGAAATAAAGAGTAATTAACCCTTCTTGAGTTTACGTCTCTGTTCCTGAACTAAAGCGGTTATTCGCAAGATTCCTACACACTTAGCTGTAAGATAAAAAGTTGGAACCTCACAATGGATTCAAAATCTTTAGAATATTAGCTTTAAAATTTCATCCACAGCGATAACAACAAGGAAATTTCAAGTGGAAAGGCACTGAAATAAATACTCAGAAAATGGCATTTCATAAAATGATGAAAAAAAAGTAAACGGTGTAAATGGCAAATCATTTGCGTGAAACATTTGGGCTCATAATTTAAGTAACACAGTGAGCAGAATAAACTTGAATTTAATAAATTACCTATTCAGATTGTTTAAAAATACAGAAAATTGAGGTTTTAAATCTGAACTAATATGGAAATGAACAAATAAAAAATTAAAAGTAAAGACACAACTAAGTAAATGCTTTCAGGTAAGAAATTCCTGGCGCATGATCTCGTGATTATTGCTTTGCTGGATTTTCGAGATAAATTTCAGTTTGTAATTTATATATTACTTTAATTAAGGGTTATTATTCCCTTCTCAATGAATTATTAAAGGTGCATTCATATATCTTTTTAATATTTTTCTGCGTTATTATATTTTAGTACTTTTTAATGTACTTCCTGTCCTGTTATTACTTTTAGGAAACTCTGCGACTGTATCCATCTGTACCCTTTATAGGAAGAGAAAACAAAGAAAGCATTAAAATAGGTGAGTTTTTTTCTTACTTGATAGCTTTTTATTTGACTTGCCTTTCACTCAAGCTCTTCTTGAAAATCTTTCACTCAAGCTCTTCTTGAAAATCTTTCACTCAAACTCTTCTTGAAAATCTTTCACTCAAGCTTTTCTTGAAAGTAACTTGCAAGTAAGAACTTAGGAAAGTTTCATATTTTTAACCTAAGGGATTTTGATTCAATCCATATTCCACCTACCAAGTTTGAGTTTGAGTTTCAGTTCGATAATCTTCAAACAGTCAATTTATAGAGTTTCACTTTCTTTGGTAACATCCACTGAGTTAAAACTCTGAAGAGTTGTAGCGACATTAGGTTATTTCGAAGCGGGAGACATAAAAAAATAAACAATGCCCTGGTTGGGACTCGAACATCGGACCTCTCGTACACACGCCGAGTGTGCTGGCCATTACACCACGAAGGCGGGAGAAATACCTTACATACTCCCCTTTTAAAGCGCGACTGGAGATTAGGGGACCCAATCGCCAAATCGTGGTGGTGAAGAATCATCATTCATAAACTTTTTTCAGTGGGACGCCACTGCAGAGATATAAGGTTATTTCAAAGCAGGAGACATTAAAAATGAGCAGTGCCCTCGCCGGGACTCGAGCCTCGAACCTCTCGAATACGCGTCGAGTGTGCTGACCATTACACCACCAAGGTACGCTAAGAAGGCGGGAGAAATACCTTATAAACTTAAGCGACTTCTCGCTATGTCTTGGAAATTACAACAGAAAACTAGCAAGGTTATAAAAGACCGTTTTATTAACTCAAATAATTAATGGAAAGTACAGATTATGCTTACAGATCCAGCCAGCACATATCACGTAAATCAAAAGTAAAAAATCTGATGTGTACACCACATGACTTCCTTGTACGGAATATTAAATTATAAGCATTTTTTCTTGCATTTCATTTAAACTTATTGGATTGAATTCAATCTACTTCGCCGACAGCGCATAAACCACAATAGAATAAATGCATTCCTTAAAATTCACTCTAATATTTGTTTACCATAGCGACACTCTGGCGCTAGGTTCACTTAACAGTATTATATTTCATTCATATTATAACTCATAATGCACAAAATTTATATCATTTAAAGAATAGAATTATCTAATCGTTGCCACATGTTCTATTCAAATACTACAATAAAGCTAGAATGATGTATAAAAGAAATTAAGCAAACAAAACAAAAAAGAAAACATTTTTTCACAGACGATTGAGTATTTCTCATTCAATTAATTCAGTTCTCACTTCGCAAGAAGGCAAAAATACATAAAAACTCAAAATATCTATATTAAAAATTACGAAGTAAATCTTAAACACTTACTTCCTCGAAAAAATTCCAGAAAGGATTAAGCATGATTTAATTAGCAATAATAAATGAAGGCGTTATCTTTGTTGTTGCGAAGCTAAGTTTCTCTAGATTGGCAAAAAATCCACTAGTCTGCAGTTTCAAATGTAAACAATCAATGGCCGCCATAAAAAAAAAAGGCTTAGCGGCACTTAAGCAACTTTAAAATTGTTGATAATTCTAAAAATATTGCATACAGATTTACTAAAGGCATAAAAACCTTAAACTGGAAGATAAGAACAAACATAATTCAATCATTTTTAAAGCCAAAAAATGTACAATTTACAAACATATAAGAGTAAAGAAACTTGAGATCACTTGAGCCGGATAACAGAGTGGATATATATATAAATATATTTATATACGTTTTGGTGCGGGCCGATTGCAACCAAAATACGAGGTGCACATCGGCATGTTATAGCAGTCCTATATACAAAATTTCAACGTTCTGAGGCTACTCGTTTTTGAGTTATGCGAGATACGTTCGTACAGACGCCACGAAAAATTCTCTTTAGAATTCATTTTAAAGCAGTTTTATAATTTTTTTTTTTTTTTTTTTTTTTTTTTTTTTTAGGAAACGAGTCTTTTATTCGGTGCTTACGTACAGATATCACGCAAAAACATCATTAAATTGCATTCGATAGCGGTCAAAATGGATATTTTCGTTGAAATATGCTGCCTGAAACTTTTCGCGATTACAATACTTCCTTTTTACTTCGTACAAGGAAGTAAAAATTGAACTTTACTAAGTAAATTTTATTTACCCAAAGGAAAACGCCAGACATAAGCAAGCTGGTTTATTCCTAATATCGGCGTTACAAGTCTGATGGCAAGAATAACGCAACGCCGCAGATAAACTGCTTTCGAGAGAATCAACTAGTATAACGTATAGATTCCTCAGCGAATAGATAGCCAAATAATCCATGAAATTCTCAACATTGTCTCTAGCACAACCAACCAGCATTGAATAATATCATGGATCAAAGCCCATGCCGGCAACAAGGGCAACGAGGAAGTGAAGGCCCTAGCAAAAGAAACAGCTAGGGGTATTAGTGCAACGAAACTAATCATTCCATGGCCAGGCTCCTAGCTCAAGACGCAGCTCAAAACTACATTTCAAAAAGCATGATGGGATTCCTCCGACCAGGGCCAGGCGCACATACGACCTATATCAAAGACTAAACTCCATCCCAAACGTCATAATTAGACAAATAACATGCCTGATCTCAGGTCACGGCCCTTGTCTAACATATTTCTACAAAAGAATCTCGCACTTTCAGTTCTATGCGTATGTGGGGAGAGGAGTGATCCAGAGCATTACCTATTGACATGCATCATAACAAGACTAAAGCAATATGTGAATCCGTACCTCAATAGCCACATGAAGGAAGCGTATAACCCAAACAATGGCTATTCTGGTATGAGGGTAAGTTGAAAAATAAGTTTCCCCTGTCGACTGTGGTCAGAGTTGTGTATGAAAGTCAAAAAATAGAATGAGACATTAAAGATATGACATACCTTTATTTTTCCACATAGGTACCAAGTACATTGAGACATTTGTCATATCGCTTGATAAGCTTCAAAAAGCCCTCCAGGAAAAAATCAGGGCTTTGCATATGGAAGAAGCGTTGAACGGCTTGTTTCACTTCAGTATTGCTTCCAAAACGCCTTCCCCAGAGATTTTTCTTCAAAGCCGGAAACAGATGGAAGTCGCTTGGTGCGAAATCAGGACTGTATGGCGGATGGTGTAGGCGCTCCCAACCAAGAGTTGCAATATGGTTTTGCGTTGCCGTCGCCGAATGTGGTCTGGCATTGTCATCCAACAGCAGAACGCCAGATGTGAGAAGGCCAGGCCGCTTTTCCGAATCGCTTCTTTCAATTTCGACAGGGTGTCACAGTAACGCGTAGCACTGATGGTTCCAGCCTGCAAAAAGTCCAGCAACAAAACTCCTTGGGCGTCCCAGAAAACTGTGAGGAGCACTTTACCTGCAGAGGGAGTTGTCTTGAACTTCTTTCGGACAGGTGATGACGGATGTTTCCACTCCATAGATGCGGCCTTCGATTCTGGCGTGAAATGGTGGACCTACGTTTCATCCCCCGTCACAATCCGAAACAGACAGTCATTGCTATCTTCATGGTAACGCACGAGATGTTCCAGGCTGACCCCCATGCGTTGTTCCTTGTGTGTCGAGGTCAATTGTCGGGGCACCCATCGTGCTGACACTTTTCTGTATCGAAAAATGTCGTGGATGATGTTTTGAGCTCGCTCATGTGAGATTCCAAGTTCTTCCGCTACTTCATCGATGGTGATACGCCGGTTCGCTCTAATCATGTCATCCACCTTCCTAACATTTGCATCTGTAGTGGGGAAGGTGCTTTGGAAGCAATACTGAAGTGAAACAAGCCGTTCAACGCTTCTTCCATACGCAAAGCCCTGATTTTTTCCTAGAGGAGTTTTTGAAGCTTATCAAGCGATATGACAAATGTCTCAACGTACTCGTACGAGGATAATAAAATAAAGGTATGTCATACCTTTAATGTCTCATTCTATGTTTTGACTTTCATACACAACTCTGACCACAGTCGACAGGGTAAACTTATTTTTCAACTTACCTACGTATCTTGAACTGTGCAACACAGAGTAATCCCACTCAAATTAATATGCAAAGAAAAGGATGCAAAGAGAAAGTGCTAACGTTCTTCTAGAACACCATTATATATATATATATATATATATATATGTGTGTATATAAATTATGTTAATTATTTACAACATTAAGATGATTGATTCTGGGAAGAGTCTCAAAAACATTTATCCCGTGGTTTCGTCATTCGTAAATTCGGCAGTGCTTTCCTAAGGTGTTAAAATGAAAGATAAACTGATATTTATGAACGTAAATAGGATACTGATATTAAAACTGGAATAAAGATAAAGGAGCTCTATGATCAATTACTTTCATTAAAAATTCTATTCCTTCTTGCTTCATTCTAGCAAAACGAGCAGTTCGTACTTCAGATGATTTTTACCCTAAAAATATAATTTTATATTTTTAAGGTAAAAATCATCCAACAGAGATCCATATTAACAGAGATCCATAACAACAGAGATTTTATATTTTTAGGGTAAAAATCATCCAACAGTTTATTATCTTATCTCTATATGTGTATATCAGGAAAAGGCATTTATATAGTTATATTTATTTCCTTTCAGGTAGGTACATTATACCACCTGGGACTCATATTGTAATTTTAATCAACATGCTTCATAAAAACCCTGAAGTGTTTCAGAATCCAGAAAAATTTAATCCAGAAAGATTTTCTCCAGAAAACACTTTAGAAAGGGACGCGTTTTGTTACTTACCTTTCTCGTCTGGAGTTAGAGCATGCTTAGGTAAGTGTTTTTCATTGAAGTTTAATTCAGAAAGTTACATGATTATATTTTTTCACATCCCCAGGCTAATATGCGTGTGTGTGTGTATGATAAAAATTACATAAATCCAGATTCTTACTATAAGTTCGCAATAGTTCCTAGGCTCACTGTTTTAATTTGGTAATTTCTCTTATATTGCCCAAATTAATTGCTTATAACAAACCTCTCTAAATTGCATAATTTAAAAATTAATTATCACCATATTATTCTTGCATGACACAAATACACTTCAGCTAATAATGACTTCTAATTTAAATTAATTTCTAAACTTCACCAATAGGAACAAATCGGAACTGAAACTTAGTTATCCTGAACAAAGCTTTTATCTGGTTTCGCTTTCTGTTTCTCTGTCTACCTAGATTGCCACCCAGCCAGTATAGTGTTTAGTGACTCGGACTGCCGAACCGAAGGGACCAGGGTCGAATTCCAGAAAATAAATGGATGTTTTTATAGTGTCAATGCGGCAGGAGGTACTCAAAATACACCGCGAGCCAAAAGCCTTAGGTGAACGATGTCACTGACATCGTAAGTGGAACGATGTACAAATCAAGTACGTGACGTTATTATGTCTATGATTGTGATGCTGCAGAAAGAAGAAAAGACCGAGACCTAATCTCATGATGCTCATGTATGCAGTGAGAGGTCCAGGGATAAGTCGGTCTTGCGAAGATTTCAAATGGAAGTAACGGTGGCTGAAACATATCTGTTCCAGGTTGTAGCCAAATGACTCCTTTAGTAATTAGCGACAGCAATAGAAGCATTCCAAGGAGAATATGCCTGGCCTAGGCAAGCAGATGTTCTGTCATCTCAAAGATATTCTGATGAGCAACGCCAGGATGAGCTGCGTGAGGAAAGGCCAAGTGCGTGGCCACTAGTCAAGTGGAAGCAAGGAGTCAATAGTAAAATTAAAAAGATGATTGCAATTTCAAGCAAGTTAGGCATTGGCTGAAAAGCGGAGACACTTTCAGAACCATACATAATTTTGAAAGGTGGCCGATAAATAAAAATGGTAAGGTAATTTTAAAAGGAAAAAATAGAAATTAAAGTAAATTGAAACACTAAAAGAAAAATTAAGCGAATAAAGTATATCTTTATTCGGAATATAATCTTGAAAAAAGGGATGGAATTACTTTTTGTTTGAGGTGTGGTATAAAATAATTAAGAAACGTAAGCGAAAGAACTAATATGTGCTATAGCTATTAATTTCACTAATTATTTCTATAAACATGTACATATTGTTATACCGAATCTGTCACCGCTTTTAATTTGAACACTTAGATTTTGAAAATTTTATTAATTCCCGTGATTTTAATTTTTCCAAAGATTTGTTTAAATTCTCTGATGTGCATGAAAAGGCTTACGAATTCTGAAATTCAGTTTTTTCCATTAGGATTAATAGTAGATTTTAAGGGATCGCTTTTTGGAGAATTAGCATTATTGTTATCAGAAACTTCATTTAACAAATTATGGGGGTGCAGCGGCAACAGATTTCCCCCCACACACACACTGAGTTAACTTTGGTAGTTTGTTTCTTAGTTATCTTTGCATAAGAAATGCTCGTTTAATTAAGCTGTCTTTTCTTGTAGGAGGGAGTTTAATGTTTGACAATTTAAGACATCCACAATATGATACAACGCGAGAACCACGGCAGTTGCTGCATCTGAGATAATCAATTTTACCTCTCTGAATTCAGTCAGTCGTTTCGTGATCTAAAGAGCACTTGACGCACTCTAGAGCGAGCAAACTATTCTCGGAAGAATGATATCTCTGTTGGCAATTATGAATTTACGACACATGGTTCTTCGAGATATATGTTTCAATCGTTAATATGAAGCACAGGAAGTCTTTCAATTCATTAATATTTTTCTACATCTTCGTTAGTAATAACATGCGCTAGAAAAAGAGGTCTGAAAGCCTTGGTTCTTTTACGCGTAAGTTAAGCAAGTTTACTGATAGAGAAAATCTCTTGTTGAGTGGCGTTGATATTATCCTTTTTGGTATTTCAAGGAAGGCCACATAGCACCATTTTAATTGAGCTGGTATATTTAACACTAATAACTTAATTTTCGATGTTAGCTTCTCTGAAGAGTGCACTTAGTTTTCGATGGTCGCTTTCAAAATCTAGTAGGATCTTTAGAAAATCTCCTTTCACCTGCCCACGAATTTTACATCAGTACATCTCGCTAATGTTTTTAAAAATTCCTCGTATACATCCGTTTCCGGTTATCCAAGTACTCTTGGATAGTGGAAGGGATAGCCTGTGGCGGACTGGTAGTTGGTTGCTGCACAATTTCTGCCTCGGAGGCTTCATTTATGCTAGCCGAAACCAACACATTAAATTGATTTTAAGTTGAAATGAGTTTGGGAGTTTGACTAACTTTAATTTGTTTGGTTCTGTTTTAACTTTAATTGTTGGAACTCCAACAATTCCAGTTGTTGGAGTTCGAAATCCATCAATTAACATTTTCTAACAATTTCATAACTAACATTTTCATCATTAATAATTTTTCTTTTACTTTTGGGGTCATTAATTTACTTTTTCTTTTGGTCAGGTTGTAAGGATTATGTTAACTTTATTAACAGTTAAATTTTAAGTTAATGTTCCTTTCCTGTCAAATTCTTAACTTCAATTTACTACTTCCGGCCAGAATGTATTTTCAGAATCGCGTTTGAATGCAAATGAGGAAAAGATATTTAATTGCAAAGTTGTACTGACTGAGTCGCCAGAGACAGCCAGAGATTCTGATTAGCGCGCGTTTGCGCGTTTTCCGTTATACTCTCTCTCAAAGCTATTTCTACGATCGGCCGTACTTTAGGCCCCTGATAGGCTTCGCCGTTAATTAGTGTTAAGGGGCCAACTCAGTTAGAATCTTGATAGCTTCGGCTATATCTCTTAGTTTAAATTAGTTTTAGTTTACTTCTTAGCCTCTTAAGTTCAAGTCCAAGTGTTGGCTTTTACTGTGCACTTTAAGACGGAGCTCTGTTAAATCTTATCTGAATAATAAAGGGCTATTTATGAATAATAAAGGACTTCCATCTTGTTGTTTCTTACTGCACGAATTCAAGATATTATTCGCTTATTAGTTCTTAAGATTCTTAACGTTCAATAGCAACTTAGCCTTTACAAAGTGAGGAACTGTACAAGGTCATTAGTGGAGTTAGATTTTCCAGTACCTAAAGAGCAAGATAACTTTTACTTACCTCGCAAGATGTCAGCTTCTGTTTTCATATTTTCACATATCAGTCTTGAAAATCATATTTTTTTGAATTAATTAAGCATAATTTTTATAATTCTAATTTATAAGTCCTCATTCAGATTTGAAAAACTCCTTGTTGTTGAAAAATCAAAATAATAATTATGATTTTTCTGGGAACGCTTTTTTAAATGTTTCTTACAAAATATCACAAATAAAAGCTTTTACATGCCAATTACGTCTTATGATTCATTATAACAGATCACAAAACGTATGTCCCTTTATTACGCTCAGAAAATTTCATGCTCCGAATTTTATGAATTATTAAAATAACTAATCCACTTTAATGTTAATAATTTAATGATCATATAATCCAGGGGTCTCCAAACTACGGCCCGCGGACAGATTTTGTCCGGCCCGCGGAGAGCTAGCATACTTGAAAACTCCTTTTAGAGAACATATTTTTTATAGCAAATTAAATTTAGTTTACTGAAGTATTCTAATTTTATGTGAATAATATTAATATGACATCTACATTGATATGGTCATGGGCTAACTACTCATAACATTTTTGTAGGCTTATTGTTATGTTTTTGATAAGTTGGATAAAGAAACACAGAATTGTAATGAGTAAAGACATTATAATATGCAGAAAATTAACTTCAGTAATATAACTAACAAATTATGAATGAATCCAACTAACATTTTATACATTTTAAATAAAACATAACTTATAACAAGCATAATGAATATGAATACTAATGAGATTATGTAACTGAGATTTTCCACTGACAATAGTTGTAGCTGTGGACTAATTTACTTGTACCAATTATTAAAATAGATTAAGATGCTATCAGTTAATTTAGATCTGTAAACATTTTTTGTGACTTCATTTTGGAGAAGGTCTTTCACAAATAAGTAGTACCAAAACAGAAAACAGCCACGAGCAAATTTTATGCAAATTATCAAATGTGTGTCAGTGGAAGACTTTTAAAATTCCAACAAAGATTGAGTTTTGATATTGTTCTTAATTATCAATGCACGTAGATCAATCATTTCATTTGAAGTTCCGGGCTAGGGTTTCAATGTCAGTATCAAAGGATTCTGAAAAATCTTAATTGATTCGCAATGGCATCAAAGTCCGAGAAAACGAGTATCAAAATTTATTTTCAAAGCACTCAAAGTTTCGATTGCAAAATCAATAGGAAACTCAGTCTCAGTGGTGTAGCTGAATATTTCACATGTTTTAAAATGTGAAAAACATTTACTTCGGTTGTGATTGAACAGTATCAATTTCTTCTGGATGATTTGATATAGTGTATAAATCAGGAAGATGCTGGTTTTCTCCTAGCAATCTCAATTCAGTTCGTTCACATGTTTTGTCAAATCAACATAGAATGCTAACTTCCACAGCCATGCGTTGTTTGTAATTCAGTCAGGGGCGATGCTTTTCATTCAAAAAAAATTTCGATCACTGCTCGAAATTAAAAAAGCGTGAAGAACTTTCCCACAACTAAGCCAACGTACGGCAGTATGATAAGGTAAGTAATTTTCTCCAATCTCTTCAATAAATTGTCGGAATTGTCGGTGATTCAGCCCAAAATTATTAAATTAACAGTTGATATGACTGGTTTCAGACTTCAGACATATCCAAACATTTTCCGCACAAGGACTGTTGATGAATGATACAATGTAAGACTAATGGTTTTGAACCACCATCATTTTTACAGCCTTTGACACAAGAGCGACCACTCCTTTATCTTTCCCTCATGTTTTGCCTCCATCAGTTGTAATACATTTCAAGTTTTTCCATCGAAGGTTCTTTGATTAATGGCCATTTCAACTCCTTTAAAATATCTGTACCAGTAGTTGCGCCATGAATACTATACATATCAAGAAGTTCTTCATGCAATTCATAGCTTTTATCTACTCCTCGAATATAAATCAACACCTGAGCAGTATCTGACACATCGTTGACTCATCCAAGGCCAAAGAAAACCACTCAACATGTCCATTTTTGTCGAACAGTTGAGAGGATATATTTTCAGCAATGTTTTCTACCTTCGAGCCACAGTGTTGCTGACATACTGACAGTTTTAAAATTTACCCTTTTCAGGGCATATTTCTTCGGCTACTGCAATTATGCTTTTTTGATCATTTCTCCATCGGTGAATGGTTTTCCACGTTTTGCAATTTCAAGAGCCACACGAAAGCTGGCACAAGTTGCAGCTCTTGTTCAGTTTGAGTTTTGTAAATGAAGATTGCTGCGATTTCAATCCGCGTTTCATAGCTTCGAATTTTTTCCGCAAACTCCCTGTATATTTTGAGTAATTTCGAAAATGTTTTGTTTCATAATGACGTTTACGTCATTATGAAACATTCGAAAATGTAACATTCGAAAATTTTTGTTTCATAATGACGTTCTTTGAGAACGGCTATGCTTTCATTGCAAATCAACATAGCGCCTTGTTACTGGACTCAATTACGAAATACTGAATGTTCCACTGATCTTTGAATTTCTGCATTCACTATCAATTTTTCGCTTCTTTTCCATACTACTAAATCACACACAAAAGCAACAATTCAAATCAAAAATACTGTTCAAAGATGTCTTAAACACGCACAAACAAAGGAGGTATGCACTATTTTATTCCACAACAGTGTCATAGGAACTGACTTCTGTACGTGCTATTAGCGCCATCTGTTAGTGATGGAAGGTACTACCTATTTCCGCTTGTGTCCACCAGATGTCGTGTCACGTTATTCCTCATGGCTCGTACTCTACGACTAATCTAGAAATTACAGATAATGACAGGAAAATTAAAATATGCAGTGCTGCCGTTTTGCGGACTTTAGTCCGATTTGCAGCCTTTTTTAAACGTTGCGTACTTTTTCGGACTTTTTTATTCATCAGTGGACTATTTCACTTTTTACCACCGGCAACAATGATAATATGGTTTTGGCCCTCGGAACTTACTGGAGTAATCAGTATGGCCCTAAGGCTGGAAAGTTTGGAGACCCCTGATATAATCAAATAAATATGATCGTTTTGTAATATTATTATAGTTTGGAAAAATCACTGCCTGAAAATGTTCATTAAATTAAAAAAAAAATTATCAGATCTTGTTTAATTTTACCTTATTTATTTCAAAGCATCGCGTACTATCAATCTTATTTAATTTTACTTTATTTTTACGCAAAATTAAGTTCATAAATTTTGTGCTTAGAGTTTTTACCGTTTTACCAAAGTAAAGATGTTTGTACACGAATTACGCGTGAAAAAATGGGCGAAATGCAGTAAAAAGTGCTTTAATAAGATATATTAAATCCTATTTGGAAAAAACTGTGGATTTCATAATCTCATCACTATACAACGTATCCCATTTAATAATTAAAAAGAGTTATGTGATACAAATGCCATAGGTTTCAGTGTTAAAGTAAACCAGATCGTCCCTACTCTTTCTTGCCGACATGTCGGTGACGCGCGCCCCGCCCACTGGGTTAGTCTATCTCTTATAAGGTCCATGATCAGAAGACGTAAAATACAACGGAAAGAAAAATCAAAAGAGCAGGTAGTCTTCAAACTGTTTCAAATAAAACAAGTGCTCAGAATGCTCCAAGATTCTCAACTAGAGAGACTCTTGCCGCTAGCAAGATTTTCACCTTATGAGGACATCACTTAACAAGTGAATAATCATTTCTATGCCTTCAATAATATTTTTATTAAATTTTTGTTTAAAATTTTTGTTTAACTTTTTGGAACCATTACTGGTAAACAATTCAAGGTATTAAATCGTAATCTATAGTTTTCAGAGTGAAATTATAGTTTAATTCAGTAATGCATTGCAATTCATAAAACTAGCTTTTTTCTTAAGGAAGATTTTAACGTAATAATTAACACAAATAAGTGAGCATTTAGTAACTAATTATTGAGTTGAATTTCTTCATTTTATTATTATTAAATTTATAAGGTATTTCTCCCGCCCTCTTAGCATGCCTTCGTGGTGTAGTGGTCAGCAAGCTCGACGCGTATTTGAGAGGTCCGTGGTTCGAGTCCCGGCGAGGGCACTGCTTATCTTTTCATCTCTCCTGCTTCAAAAATACCTAATATCTCTAAAAGCTGAGCGAAGTTATTATTTTACGTAAATAACATTTATAATTGCTTGCATTAATATATTAGTTTAAATATTAAGTTCTTATAACCATTAGCAGTAAAATTAAATCATTTATTTCAGGTTACGGGTACGCAATAACGGAAATGAAGATTGTTTTAGCTCATATTATTCGAAACTTCAAGGTGACCACTGTGGATCCATTAGATAGGATAAGCGTGATGATGTCAGTGACTCTAAGGTGCTTGGACCCACTGCGCCTGCGCTTCACATCTCGAACATGACAGGTCGTTATTAACGACACTAGAAGTTTAATCAGAAAGCATTGCACCGACACCAGCTATTGGCTAAATACTTATAAAGAATTTTTCTGTTTCAAAAAATTCGAATAAAATTGTCTTATTGCTTAATGCTAAATGCCTAGAAAATTTAAACTGTACGTTTAAACTGAAGAATATGTAATTCAAAAAGATAGTTATGTTTTTAAAAAAAATTTATTCCATTGTTTTCAAGCGAATGTAATAAAATGAAAGAATATGAATGTATCAAAGTAATAGAGCTTGTTTAAAAATTTAAGAACGTTTAATATTAGCATTTCTGTTATTATGAAAGCAGTGGTCTTCAAACTGTAGATTATGGTCCAGTTTATTAAAAATCTGCATAATCATAGTCCAAACATATTATAAAATACATATTCCTGAGAATCTGGGTCGCAATACTGCCTAAGCACCAGAAATGGGGATGCGATCCTAAAATCTTTGGGAGTCACTGACGTAGAGTATTGCGATTCAGTTAGGGATAAGACGAATCTTGAATTTCCTCCATCTCAAAATCTGAATTAAAAAGTTTCCTGATTATCATGAAACAGTTGGATCTCAAATCTCTCGAGTTCTTCATATAAAATTTACAATAAGAAAGAAAAATCATTCATTTAATGTTAAGGTTTTCTTTTAACAAAAGAAAATTTGAAATCTTTACTTAACGAAAAGCAAATTTAAGAATACATTTTTTTTAAAATACACTCATACATTCAATACCTTGTAAATCCATACAACGCTTGTCATGTTCATATAGCTTTTTGACTCCTTCCTGCAACTAATTCTTACGACACTACTTAAGCGCTAGTTTACTGTTTATTGAATCTCTTCAGTGCTACTTAAATAATGACCTCTGAAGTGAGATTTTACCTTAGAGATATATTCTACGGGTGCCAAATCTGGTGAATAAAGAGAGTATATGACACTTTTCTTTCTTTGAAAATGCTCTGCGGGAATGAATTATGTGACGGGTCATTGATGTGGAGAAGAAAAGTAAAACTGATTGAGTTTTCCAGTCCTTACGCTCTGAAATCGCTTCAGCAGTCTGCCCATTACAGTTTAGGCTCACCAGCAACCAACCGATAAAATCGTTGAACACTGGTAGTTTGATCTGAGTTCGATTCCTTAGCTGCATGATTAATTTTTGTAGTTTTGTCCATGTAACACACGATTCCTTAAAATTGTAAACGTGTAACACGATTCCTTAACAGATTCCTTAAAATTCCTCCAAAAAGGAATTCTTCCCCTTATGCCAGAGATAGGCAACCTGCGGCTCGCGAGCCACATGCTGCTTTTTGGATGTGAAGCTGTGGCTCTTTAGTTCCATATGGAAATATTATTTAGTTTACCAATAATAATAATAATAATAATAATAATAATTAAAGTTCATTCTGAATCGAATTTTTAAAAATCGTTCTGAATTTTGAAATTTGTAAATTGTAATTTTTGACTCTTCCAACTCAAAAGGTTGCTGACCCCTGCCTTATACTATAACGTTGCGCGCCTCTAACTAGCACGCAACCAAGAGGTGACTGTGAAAGCTTGTATAAACCACAGAGTCTTATAAAGCGTTTAAGTCCCTTTTTATTCAACGTAATAAATTACAATGGCGTCCTCTTGACGCTTACAGACTGTGCCCACTAGGCAGTCAAATAAAAATAAGAACCTGAAAAGAAAGTAAAGACAATATTCTAACTACGAGGCTCTCTAAAATAACTAACTCACCGCGTTTTACAAATACCGCAGCTAATTCAGCAGACTTGAAGGTCACTGGAACAATTGCAACTACTTCCCGCCAAGCACATAGGCCGCAACGCGGGGTTCTTCAATTCTCGATTTCTACCTCCGCGCTCGCTAAGTAAGAATAACTCTCTCACCGAACTCGTTTCCTTCTATTTAAATCATAATACTTCCGCTGATAATTTGAATCCTTGCGCGTTCTACTCAAATTTACATATTCTGGCATTGGCAGTTCCAGGGGAAAGTAAGGGCTTGACAGGAAAGATAGTTTAAACTTAAAATAAATGTTAGTTAAAATAAATATAAACCCTACATTTGCCGCTGCCAGAATTTGGAAAACTTGGAAGCAGGTCCTACAAACGACCTGTTGTAAGTTTATCTAATTCTGAACTAACTGGCGAAAGCCTCGTTTACACAAAAAAAATCTTATGTAACAATTATATACTAAAATTCTTTTGCTCGTTACAAAGCTTTCTTCTTACAGCAACTTTTCCTGGACTTCATCAATCAATCTTGATCTTTCCTTCCAGCATCTGGAAGGAATAAGTATCAGTATCTTTCTACATACATTATAATTTACACTTTCTTGACACAATAAATTTTTGTTTTTAACGTTTCGTTTTTCTTAGTTATTGCTTACTTCACATTCATTCAATTTTTCAAGCATTAATTTAACTTTACCCTGGCTCTCCACCATGTGTGGTGTCAAACGGGAATATTCGTGTTTTAGTCTTACAACACTTCCCCTGATTTGTTAGAATTCAACAACCAAATAGACACACCTTACTCGACATTCTACAACTCAATGAGCTACTTTAATATTCTTAAAAATTCAAATGTAGGTGGAGAACCCTACAAAACACATTCATTCTAACTTCCCCCTCATTCATCTTTAAACATGCAGGCTTTCGCTCTAAAGCATGACTTTACAGTTTAATACTTAAATTTTGACTTCATTGCTTTTAAGCATTCACTTTTAGCATCTACAATTTTATGCTTCTAGACTAAATTCTACTTTTACATAACATGCAAGTATTTACATACATTTACAAAAGTTTAATACATATGCTTTTTACAATTTACCATAAAATGAATAAGAGAAAATAAATTTTACTTTACTCATTCTTCGCCAAGCTGGCGGCACTGAAACTAAAATTCTTATTAGTACAAGAATACGAAGTTATTTTTATCTCCGGCCAAATTTTGGCTTTAACATAACAGAATTAGTCTTTCGACCAACAGAAAATGCTTGTTTTTAGCTTTTACACTTAAAGAAAATAATACTTTTGCCTTAGCTAAATAAAGTAAAACAAATTAAGTCTCAACCGAGACATATTGACTTCGTCAAAACATAGAACTTCGTACTTATGCATAACATTTCGGAACAAAAGAGAAAAATTTATAGAAGGTTTTAACTTATCTTTGAGTTTTCGATGCTTGAAATTCCGTCATCCGTTTTTGGCAAAATTGATCCCAAGTTAGAGGTTTCATGGATGTCAATCTTCTCCTTATTGATCTCCGAGTGTCGTCCCGTTGCTTTTTCTTTTGCGTCCTCTGCATGCTGGCCTCTTGACGGAGTAATCGTCTGGTTGTTGGCCTTTGCGTTTCTTCTGCCTGGGACGGCTGGTCGTTGACGTCCTCCGGTCTGGAGTCCTTCTTGAATTTCTTCTGTTCGTCGTATTTTTTGTGCCTCCTGTTGGCGTTTCAGTTTCCGGAACGGCGGCCTTGCTGGCACCTGACTCTGTGGCCGTGGTGCGCGTTCTCCTTGATGTGTAATTTTCTCCTGCCATCTTTTGTAGGGTGGTGTTTTCGTCTTTACCACGGTTTCTTTACCCGGTTCATCTGTATTTTTGTTTTCTCTAAACGCCGGAGTTTGAAAATCCTTTTTTTTTTCTTTTTGATACCGACGTCCGGGTTGTAGAAGTGCTAGGTCTCTCTTCAGTTCTCCGTTTCTTGGGTGGTGGAATAGTTGTTGCAGTCTCTGGCCCTTCTATTTCGTTTAGACTTGAGTCCTTTAGACTTGAGTCCTGCAAGAAACTTTTAAGGATTTCAAAATCATTTGGATTATAGTATTTTTTTTCACCTGGTCGGGACTTGCTTTACAGATTTCCCCTCTCTCGTTTTTAAGATATAGACTACTCCCTTTGATTTCCTGAATTACATAGGGGCCTTCAAACTTTGGAGCTAGCTTTGCCATAAAAATTGTCTGGGGCACTTGATAAAGAAAATTTCCGTTTCAATACTTTATCCCCAACTTTAAAATCTGCTTCACGGCGTTTTCTATCATAATATAACTTCTGTCTATTTCTTGCCGTATCCGAGGTTTTAAGCGCCTGATCAATCAACTTTTGCACGTCTTGTTGTCTAAATTCCTGCTCTCTTTGTTGCACAAAGAATAATTTATCGAAAGGCGTAATTAACTTTCTGCCTAAAAATAATTCTGCTGGAGCTTTTCCCGTAGTATCATGATGTGCCGTTCTTAAAGCATAAGCTAATTCATTTATGTAGCCATCCCAGCGCTTGTGATGTGCTAACGTAACTGCGAATTATTTTTACAATGTTTTTATTAACTCTTTCTGCTATGTTAGCCTGTGGTCTATACGGAACCATTTTGATATGGAGTATATCAAGTCCCTTGCATATGTTTTCAAATATTTGACTAATGAATTGTTTTCCGTTATCGCTAATGACTTTTATCGGTGCACCGTATTTTAAAATGTATCTGTGTAAGAATGCATCTGCGACTGTTTTGGCTGACGCGCGTTTAAGTGGAACAATTTCTATCCATTTTGAAAAATGATCTACTATTACTAAAAAAAAACGATTTTTATTTAACTCGCTCTGGGGGAAGGGACCAAGGAGATCTATGCCTAAAATTTCATTCGGAAATGTAGCGCGAATGCTATTTAAGTACCCGGCCCGGGCTGTAATTAATATCATTTATTAACTGACATTGATTGCAGGACCTGACATACGCCGTTACTATTTTGTATAATTGCGGGAAATATACCGCCTCGCGTACCCTTTTTTAAAGTCTTTCTGACCCCGAGGTGGCCCGCTGTTTTTTTTTTTTTTTTTCGTGCAACTCCTTCAAAATGCTTAATCGAAGCGAGGCTGGGATGACTGGCTTATACTCAAGATTTTCGTTCGTTGTTTTCGTATAGAATAATAAATAATCTATTATTTCATAGTTTTTTGCTCTATTTCTTATCGCATCGATATCTGTGTGCTCAAAGCTTTCGGGGGTCTTTCAAATAAGCATAGATATTTCCAAATTCAGGATCAGCTTTCAGTTCAGTAATAACCGTATCTCTAGAATCTAAAATTTTTTAAGTCAACACAGCGCATTTAAGTTCATTACCTTCATCGTCCAGTTTTATACGAGAAAGTGCGTCAGCTACATTGTTTTCCTTACCCGGTTTATATTTTATTGTGATATTATATTCTTGGAGTTTTAAAGCCCAACTTATTAACCTGGGCGTTAGGTTTTTTCCCGAGTAAAGTCTACCAACAGCCGCATGATCCGAAAAGACTGTTACTGGCGATTTCCCGAAATAAACTCGAAATTTGTGTACAGCCATTAATACGGCTAATGTTTCTCTTTCTGTAGCT